ACAGAGACGGGGGTCTCACTGTGAGCCCCAGGTCCCATACTAACGGTTGGGACCCAGAACTCCTGATTCCAAGTCACCTGATTGCTGTGACAGCCTCTGATTGGCTATCACAGTGATAAGTCACTATGAAGCCTGCCCCCAAGTTTTCTCTCTCTGAATGGAGGAGAGAGATACATTGTATCCATCTCTCTCCTTGCAGAGAGGGAAAAAAAAAAAAAAAAAAACAAACATTGTGTAATAAAGTAAAATACAAAAAACAACCCTATCTGAGGCTGGGTTCACACTAATGTGGTGTGGTACATCGCAGGTGATTCACACAGGAACCGCAGTGCATTCTTGTGCAAATCACATGCAAATTCTGTGCGGTGCGATTTGAGCCATACATTTTGTATGGCTCAAATCGAACCGTATGAAAAAGGTGCAGGACCCTTTTTTGGGTCTGCACTAGAATCGGATCGCATGGGTATTCACACCTATGCGATCCGATTCTGCACATTGCACCGCTTTTTGTGGACCGCTTTTGGGGTGTTGTTAACTAAACATACACACCTGCAGCGGTTCACATGAACGGGGTGCGATTCTGATACGGGGTGGAATTCGCACAGAAAACGCTGCAAATTCCGCACCGCTTCAGTGTGAATCCAGGCTCAAGGTTTGGTCTAGGTCAGTGCCAGGGTTAGTGTTTGGGTCGTCAGGGTCAAAAATCAAGGTCAGGGTGAAAGGATAGAATCAGTGTTTTTTTGGGCAGGATGTTTGATTTCTTTCTTTTTTTAATAAGTATCAGTGTATTTTAGATAGGATGGAAAAAAAAGAAAAAGAAAAAAAAGGCACCACTGTTTCTGGGCTGTACTACAGGTACAAACAGCAACATACACCTATATGGTATCCCAAGGAGGATAGCAGGAGCAGGATAATTTATTTTGGGTTTTTCTTTGGTGGGAGGTTATGGTAGTAGCAAGAAATATACAGCTAAATTTAAAAAATATATATTTTTTATACTATTTTGGGCCAATTTTCCTATAATAATAATAATAAAAAAAACAAACAAAACAAAACACAGGAGATACCGTTTACCACTTACCACCAAAGCCCAATTCCACCAGAAAAAAAAAAGAAAATGTAAAACCACCTAGATGCACAAAGTAATTGTGATAATATGTACGGTTTTACTAACACATGTCAAAATTGTGCTTCATCCTTAACATTTGTTTTACCCTTAGGCATGAAGGAGTTAAAAATAATTGCCTATATTGTTTAAAATCCAGTAGTGTCTCACAGTAATGTCTCACTCTACTCTGCACATGCTCAGTTGCTCTCTATTTTTCACCACTTTACTCAAAATGTAGAGGCTGATCTGTTGACAGCCTAAAGATTTATTGCTGCTCAGGGGTTCTGGGCTTCAGCAAAATGACAGTCTCCAGCAAGAAGAAACAGGGAAAATGCTGGAGGCAATTTAGAGCACACACTAACTTTGATAGCATAATTATTAATGTGGAATAGATCTTCTTTGCTAAATAAATTTTTTTATCCAGATGTTTAGGGGTAAATATTCCCTCCCCATACCTATACAGCCTACCCTGTGTAATAAAGCTTTGTATACTTACCTTATTTTAGTACAGTAACATGGCTCCCCTGTGTTAGAGAGGTAGGGGGAGGGATCCTGCAGCTCCAGCACACGTGACATGAAGTGTTCAACAATGGCTGAAAACTCCAGGAGCTGTGATGTTACCCACAGGCCCCCATGGTCCAGCCACTACCAGCACTCCCTCCTCTACCCTGCAGCTCTCCAACACAGGGGAGTCAGTGCTGCAGGATCACATGACCAGCTGCTCTGCACCACAAGGCATTGCCATGCATTGTAGCTCAATACTAGATTTAAAAAAAAATGGGCCCACACTTCTTTTGAGCGATTGTTATAAATATAGCAGACAACTGAAATAAACAGGCAGCCCTAAACGTATGTGCATAGATGTAAATGGAGCCCGAGGGGCCGCTGACAGTCACCATCGTAGTTGGTGCTACCACAGTGGTCACTGCAATCTTCCAGGTCTAATGCTACACGCTGAGCACAGGAAGGAAGGGGGGGGAGGGGGGTGTCACTTGCCATTCACAGAACACCTTGTATTTTGTGTTTAATAGATACAAGGCATCCTGTGATTAGAAAAGATGGATATTGTGACGTCACTGTCCATCCTCTCTAACTTGTACAAAGCCTCGTATTGACTAAAATATGTTGTTCTGGGAATGGTCCAAGCAAGTGAATCCCTGTGGTCAGTGTGTAGAATTGCAGCAGCTCAGCACAGAACCGGGAAGATCACAGTGATCACTGTAGCAGTGTTGACTACTACAGCAATTGTCAGCTTCCAGAGCAGCTACTTACATTGACAGAGTTACATAGTTAGTCTGGCTGAAAAAAAGACAAAAGTCCATCCAGTTCAACCATTAAAAAAATCAGAAAAAATAGATAAACTAACATGCTACACCCTCCTTGTGCCAGCTGTACTTCCCTCCGTGGATGGTGAGAAAGAGGTCTCTGCCCATGCAGAGTGTTGTGAGGATTTGAAATCCTCGTTCTTCTCTCTCTGCTTTCTGTAGTACTTCTTGGACAGATCAAAGACTCTGTGCTGGTGCTGACCAATCAGGATCACTCTGATCTGTCCCAGAAAGAAGAAGAGGGAGAAAAGCGGAGATTTCAAATACCTGCACTGGCTGTATTGACACTAACAGCTCGTCACCCAAGGAATGAAGTACAGCAGAGACTGGGGGAGGATGTACAGTGTTCGTTCACGTTGTCTTCTGGTGTAGGTGTGGTGGGATTTCGCTGTAATAATAGTTCAACACAGTCCCACCACACTTGGTGTGAATGGATCCTTCCTGTTTGGCTATGGAACAGGAAGAGAAATCTCCCCAAAGGCAAAAAAAAAAAAAAAAAAAAAACTGACAGGGGTTATAACCCTCCCTTACTCAATTAAAAATAGAAAATAATAAATTGTCTGTCGAGTTAGACATGCATCTAAATCATGATCCACATTCTGATCGCGCTTCAAAGGCTGTTGACAGGCTATGAGGAAGTGATGTGACACCTCTTCACACTGCCTGTTTTAACCCTATTTTTGCCAACAAACGAGCTGCAACCGTACACTTTGCATGTATATGTGGGGCGTTTGAACCGCTTCCCCATTTTCCTGAATGTGTTGAGTTTGGCAGCCTTTCTGCCTGTCAACTGGACTTTGCTGTGGGCCCAAAGTAAACACCCCCAATCAGATGCCTATTGCAACTTAAACTTAAGGAGGGCAGTAGGCAGGCAGCATAAAAGTAGTTCAACCGTGAATGGTTTACCACCCCCCAACCACACAGCTAAATGAACTCCAAGCCTAAGTTCACACTGATGCGGGGCAGGATTGGCAGCAATTCTTGTGCATTTCCCACACCGCATCACAATTGCACTTTGTTCATGAGAACCGTTTTGGGTGTCAATGTTAAAGTATAACGAAAGGCAAGCATTTATTTATTTATTTTTTTTGGGCTAGAGTGTAGAGGGATTATAAACCATGTCAGTTTTTATTGCAGTCTGTGCCCAGTTAAGGAGATTCCCCCTCTCTCTTTGTCCTGTTCATCTCTAAAGTGAAATGAAAACCCCAAATTTTGGGTTGTCCCCAGAATATTACTATAAGAGAAATCTTCCAATGGCGACACTAGTTCTAGTGACCTGGGGGGTCCCCAAGGAATTCCTTTCATTTGCAGGGATTTCCTCTCACTTCCTGTTTGGCTATGGGACAAGGAATTGAAGGGAAATCTCCACAATGGGACACAGATGGTGAAAAAAAAAAATATGACGGGTTGTAACCAGGGGCGGACTGACAACTCATGGGGCCCCCGGGCAACAGGGGATCATGGGGTCCCTGTGTCCTTGGCCAAACTCAAAAAAGCCTATGAAAAAGGGGGGCATCTCATGGGGCCCCCTACTGACCCTGGGCAGTGCCCGAGTTTCCAAATGGTCAGTCCGCCCTTGGTTGTAACCCTCACCTTGCTCTATCGAAAAAAAAAAAAAAAAAAAAAAAAGTTTTCTGTTTAGTTCTACTTTAACCACCTCCCTCTCGCCATAAAAGGAATTGACGAACAGGCAACGGCTCTCATTCTGGGAGGACATCATATGACGTCCTCTCACTCCAACTTTGCATGCGTGACCCCGGGGGGCGCGCGGTGATCGGTGATGTGCTGTGTACCAGGGACACAGTGGATCAAAGATTGCAGTAAAGAGCCGATGACACAGGCTCTAGATCAGCTGTGTCCAATCACAGCTGACTGCACGTAAACAGGAAATGCCGGTTATCGGCAGTCCTCTCCTCACGATGACAGCTCGGGAGGAGAGCCAGTAAGAGGCATTCCTCAGAGGGGACATCTACACTGATCATCAGGACACTGATAATCAGTGTAGCCCCAATCACTGCCACCTGTCAGTGCAGGAGGTTTTATTAAAAGCTTACCAGTAGGTAAAATAAAAAACACACACGAGTTTACTACCACTTTTGGTTAGCGACACCCCAAAAACGGTGTGCAAAACACACTGCGATTGGATTAATCGAACTGCATGGGTGAACATCCATGCGATCTGATTCCAGGGTGGCAAAAAAAAAACAAAAAGAAAATGTGCATGCACTTTTATGTGGATGTGGTGCGATTTGAACCATACAAAATGAACTTAAATCGCACTGCAAAGAGTCACCTGTGATTTGAATAGGAATGTCGTGCAATTCCCCGCACCAGTATGAACCCAGGCTAAGTGCCACTTCAATTATAATATAGAAAAGGATGAAAGAAGTATATCAGGGCTGCTGATCCTCTGCAGCTTCTTTGCAGTCACTTCCTACCTCCATGAGTGTCCCCCATGGTGACCCCATGTCATTCCTCTGGGGGTTTCCGGTCACCATGGTATACAGCTGGAAATAAAGAGCGGTAATAGTTGGTGATACACAGGGACTCTTGTAGAACAGACCCACCTGCCTTGTCCCACAATGACTTCTCCATGGGGGTGTCCTCCTAGGCCCCGGAGCGGCTCACAGCGGGCAGTGTGCTCTTCCTGCGGACATAAGACACACATGGAGCCGGAAGAGCTCGGACCTGTCTGGAGGACTCGTCTCCCCAACTCCTCCTCCTCCCAGCACTTTGTAAACTTTCGGAGGAGTGCCGCCTCGGCGTGTTACGGCGCGGCCACAGGAAATACCATAGAGTTCAGCGTGTGCCTCCCTCCCCGGCCGGGGTGTACACCGGGACACGGCTCCTCACAGCCCTGGAGAACGTGTGCGAACAGCCACACGGGAGCCGTCCTCCGACAGAGCGCCACCTGCTGGAGACAGGGCGCGCCGCTCCCCGGGGGTCACTAGGGAACATGATCAATGTGCTGGAATACACAGGAGGTCACATTCATGGCAACTCGTTTCCTTCTGTTTACCTAATAGACTTCCCGCCAAATAAACCGTCCCCAGAACACCTTTCCAGCTCTAGAAGTGCAAACTATACCCACCAATGTCCCTGCTCCCCTCACACACCTGAGCAGAGCATCCCTACCTGCTGGACAGGGCCAGCTCTAGCTTCAGGGCTCTCTTAATGCATGGGCACTACCCAGGGGCCCCAGGTGCATGGGGGCCCCAGGAGAGATTACATTACATTATTCTTGCCAATTGTCCAGGATTTGCTGGGACAGTCACACTTTTTACTAGGCTGTCCCAGGATGGCCCAGGTCAGGGTCCCAGAACCTGGACTGTGTCCTCCTGATCCCAAAACTGCACCCTCTTGACTCCCCATGGACTGCGTTCTCCTGACTCCCCCTGTACTGGCCATCCTGACTTCCCCTGTACTGCGTTCTCCTGACTCCCCCTGTACTGCGCCCTCCTAACTCCCCCTGTACTGCGTTCTCCTGACTCCCCCTGTACTGCGCCTCCTAACTCCCCCTGTACTGCGCCCTCCTGACTCCCCTGCACTGCGTTCTCCTGACTCCCCCTGTACTGCGCCCTCCTGACTCCCCCTGTACTGCGTTCTCCTGACTCCCCTGTACTACGCTCTCCTGACTCCCCCTGTACTGCGTTCTCCTGACTCCCCCTGTACTGCGTTCTCCTGACTCCTCCTGCACTGCGTTCTCCTGACTCCCCCTGTACTGCGCCCTCCTGACTCCCCCTGTACTGCGCCCTCCTGACTCCCCCTGTACTGAGTTCTCCTGACTCTTCCTGCACTGCGCCCTCCTGACTCCTCTTGCACTGCGTCCTCCTGACTCCTCCTGCACTGCGTCCTCCTGACTCTCCCTGTAGTGCGCCATCCTGACTCCTCCTGCACTGCGTCCTCCTGACTCCCCCTGTAGTGCGCCATCCTTGCTTCCTTTACATCAATCATCCCCATCAGAGTGCCCTTTATATCAACCGTCCCCATCAGAGTGCCGCTTTACATCAACTGTCCCTATCAGAGTGCCTCCCTTACATCAACCGTCGCCATCAGAGTGCCTCCTTACATCAACCATCACCATCAGAGTGCCCCTTACATCAATCATCCCCATCAGAGTGCCCCTTTACATCAACCGTCGCCATCAGAGTGCCTCCTTACATCAACCGTCCCATCAGAGTGCACCCTTACATCAATCATCCCCCATCAGAGTGCCCCTTTGCATCAACCGTCACCATCAAAGTGCCTCCTTACATCAACTGTCGCCATCAGAGTGCCCCCTTACATCAATCATTCCCATCAGAGTGCCCCTTTACATCAACCGTCCCCATCAGAGTGCCTCCTTACATCAACCGTCCCCATCAGAGTGCCCCTTTACATCAACCGTCGCCATCAGAGTGCCTCCTTAAATCAACTGTCCCCATCAGAGTGCCCCTTTACATCAACCGTCCCAATCAGAGTGCCCATTTACATCAAACCGTCCCTATCAGAGTGCCCCCTTACATCAATAATCCCCATCAGAGTGCCCCTTTACATCAACCGTCCCCATCAGAGTGCCTCCTTACATCAACCGTCGCCATCAGAGTGCATCTTACATCAACCGTCCCCATCAGAGTGCCCCTTTACATCAACCGTCGCCATCAGAGTGCCTCCTTACATCAACTGTCCCCATCAGAGTGCCCCTTTACATCAATCATTCCCCATCAGAGTGCCCCTTTACATCAACCGTCCCCCCATCAGAGTGCCCCCTTACATCAACCGTCGCCATCAGAGTGCCCCTACATCAACTGTCCCCATCAGAGTGCCCCTTTACATCAAACCGTCCCCATCAGAGTGCCCCTTACATCAACCATCCCCATCAGAGTGCCCCTTACATCAACCGTCCCCATCAGAGTGCCCCCTTACATCAACCATCCCATCAGAGTGCCCTCCTTACATCAACCGTCCCCATCAGAGTGCCCCTTTACATCAACTGTCGCCATCAGAGTGCCCCCTTACATCAATTTCCCATCAGAGTGCCCCTTTACATCAACCGTCCCATCAGAGTGCCTCCTTACATCAACCGTCCCCATCAGAGTGCCCCTTACATCAACCGTCCCCATCAGAGTGCCCCTTACATCAACCGTCCCCATCAGAGTGCCCCTTACATCAACCTTCCCATCAGAGTGCCCCTTTACATCAACCGTCCCCATCAGAGTGCCCCCTTTACATCAACCGTTGCCATCAGAGTGCCTCCTTTACATCAACCGTCCCATCAGAGTGCCCCTTACATCAAACCGTCCCATCAGAGTGCCCCACTTTCATCAATCAACAATCGTGCCCCCTTACATCAACCCGTCCCCATCAGAGTGCCTCCTTTACATCAACCGTCCCCATCAGAGTGCCCCTTTCATCAACCGTCCCCCTTACATCAATCCGTCCCCATCAGAGTGCCCCTTTACATCAACCGTCCCATCAGAGTGCCCCTTACATCAACCGTTGCCATCAGAGTGCCCTTTACATCAACCGTCAATCAGAGTGCCCCCTTACATCAACCGTCCCCATCAGAGTGCCCCCCCCCTTTACATCAACCGTCATCCCCATCAGAGTGCTCCTTACATCAACCTTCCCATCAGAGTGCCCCCTTACATCAATCATCCCCATCAGAGTGCCCCTTTACATCAACATCACCATCAGAGTGCCCCTTACATCAACCGTCCATCAGAGTGCCCCTTTACATCAAACCGTCCCCATCAGAGTGCCCCTTTACATCAACCGTCCCCATCAGAGTGCCCCTCACATCAACCGTGCCCCCCTTTACATCAACCGTCCCCATCAGAGTGCCCCTTTACATCAACCGTCCCCATCAGAGTGCCCCTTTACCATCAACCGTCCCAATCAGAGTGCCCCTTTACATCTTCATCAAACCGAGTGCCCCCATTTACATCAACCGTCGCCATCAGAGTGCCCCTTTACATCAACCGTCCCCATCAGAGTGCCCCTCCTTACATCAACCGTCCCCATCAGAGTGCCCCTTTACATCAACCATCAGAGTGCCCCTTTACATCAACCGTCCCCATCAGAGTGCCCCTTACATCAACCGTCCCCATCAGAGTGCCCTTTACATCAAACCGTCCCCATCAGAGTGCCCCTTACATCAATCAACCGTCCCCATCAGAGTGCCCCTTTACATCAAACGTCCCCATCAGAGTGCCCCTTTACATCAACCGTCCCCATCAGAGTGCCCCCATCAGAGTGCCCCTTACATCAACCGTCCCCATCAGAGTGCCCCTTACATCAACCGTCCCCATCAGAGTGCCCCCTTACATCAAACCGTCAGAGTGCCCCCTTTACATCAATCCGTCCCCATCAGAGTGCCCCTTTACATCAACCGTCGCCATCAGAGTGCCCCCTTACATCAACTGTTGCCCCATCAGAGTGCCCCTTACATCAACCGTCCCATCAGAGTGCCCCCTTACATCAACCGTCCCCATCAGAGTGCCCCCTTTACATCAACCGTCCCCATCAGAGTGCCCCTTTACATCAACCGTCCCCATCAGAGTGCCCCTTTACATCAATCATCCCCATCAGAGTGCCCCTTTACATCAACCATTGCCATTTGACACAGAGTGCCTCCTTTACATCAACCCATCAGAGTGCCTGCTTCCACATCAGAGTGCCCCATTTTTCATCAACCATCAACCATCATCAGAGTGCCCCCTTATCAACTGTCCCCATCAGAGTGCCCCTTTACATCAACCGTCAACCGTCCCATCAGAGTGGCCCTTTACATCAACCGTCCCCATCAGAGTGGCCCTTTACATCAACCGTCCCCATCAGAGTGCCCCTTTACATCAACCGTTGCCATCAGAGTGCCCCTACTTACATCAACCGTCCCCATCAGAGTGCCTACTTACATCAACCGTCCCCATCAGAGTGACCCTTTACATCAACTGTCCCCATCAGAGTGCCCCTTTACATCAACCGTCGCCATCAGAGTGCCTCCTTACATCAACCGTCCCCATCAGAGTGCCCCTTTACATCAATCATCCCCATCAGAGTGCCCCTTTACATCAACCGTCGCCATCAGAGTGCCTCCTTACATCAACTGTTCAGAGTGCCATTACAGATGCCCCCTTACATCAATCATTCCCATCAGAGTGCCCCCTTACATCAACCGTCCCCATCAGAGTGCCTCCTTACATCAACCGTCCCCATCAGAGTGCCCCCTTACATCAACCATCCCCATCAGAGTGCCCCTTTACATCTTCTGCTTGAACGCATGTGGTGTGCACGAACCCATAGGCTGCTTTCACACTGCTTCATTTTTCATCAACCATCCCCATCAGAGTGCCCCCTTTACATCAACCGTCCCCATCAGAGTGCCCCTTTACATCAACCGTCCCCATCAGAGTGCCCCCTTGCATCAACCGTCCCCCATCAGAGTGCCCCCTTACATCAACCGTCCCCATCAGAGTTTCCCCTTACATCAATAATACCCATCAGAGTGCCCCTTTACATCAACCGTCCCCATCAGAGTGCCCCCTTACATCAACCGTCCCCATCAGTGTGCCCCTTTACATCAACCGTCCCCATCAGAGTGCCCCCTTACATCA